TTACTTACGTACTTACGCCTGTTACCTCTCATGGAGGAGCATAAGCCGCCCACCAACACTTTCCTGGGAGATCCTTTCCAATTCTTTGCAGTTGCTATTCACCCTTTTCATACCTGCTTCTATTTACCAGCGTACTATGTTCTTCGGCATTCCTTTTTTCCGATTCCCCTCAGGGTTCCAATTTAGCGATTGCCTAGTGATGTCATTAAATGATTGCCCACATGTATATCCTATCCACTTCCATTGTCTATTCCTAACCTCATCGTCAGCTGGAAGCCGGTTTATCCCCTCCCACATTAGACTGTTTCTGATGATGCCCGTGCAATCGATGTTGAGTATCGTGCGCAGACAACTATTTATAAATACTTGTACCATTTTGATGATGGTTGTAGTAGTTCTCCAAGTTTCAGCTCTGTACAGTAGAACTATCTTGACGTTCTTATTGAAGATTGTGACTTTGACATTAGTTGAAGCCTGTAGCTCTTCTAGAGTTACTGCTGGTCCCAATCCCTGGTAAAAGAGGAGGTTTTGGCAAATAAATCCAATAACGAACTTATTGATTAAGTACTGGATGGTATTTATAAATAGGATCTTATTCAAGATCATTGTTTCAGGATATATACACTATAACTACAGTATATGTTAGTAAATATGATGTTGACTGAATGTATAAATGATTAAGTTATTAAATGAATGCTAGTCTTGTATGTTGAACTAAATATATTGATTAGGGTCCAGTTTATACTGATAGTGTTTACTGACCCACCAATATTACTAAACCATTTTGTTCAATTCTATATCATTAGAGGTTGTTAGTGTTAATTTATGCATTTCAATGTCGTATTTAATATCAAGACCGATAGGTCAATATACTCGAGAAATCGTAATAGATTGTAAGTCATTTTACTCTGAAAGTATCGGTTCATTGATTATGTTAATCATATAAGCTCTAATAGGGACGTCTGTATCTACATATGTGATTTAAGCCAATTCCATGCTTAACCCTCCTCCTTTGCCGGGGCTTGAGACCGATGGTAACTCTAGAAGAACTAAAGTGCTTTAAATAAAATCAATTTGTAATGAGTAAAACCCATAAATTAAACTACTCTGTGCAAGATCTCTTCACATTGAACTGTTTCATCGCATTATTTTGACTACTCAGTGTGATTAATAAGTGATGACTGTCGAATGGACCAATCTCGAGTCCGGTTGAATTGAGAAACTAAAGGTGGGAAATTGATTTGAAGCATAGAATTAGAGATTATATGAATGCATGAGTAGTAAGTGAGTTTAAAATTTGCATTAAGAAAAAAATGTCTATTATATTATCCAACAACGAAATGAAACGAATGGATATAGTGAAGATAGAACTCAAATGTATCTTAAAGATAGTTTTAGTGATTGACTGAAATCAATTAGAGAATTTTTTAGAAACCATGAAGTACCACTTGACTCTTTTAATCCAGCTTGAAGCTATTAAGTAATACGTGTTCATAGGTCAATGTTAGGCTGCGATTCAGAGACTAGGATTCGTGGACTTAATTACTTATGCCTGTTACTCTTAATAGAGCATAGACCGCCGACCAGCATTCTACAACCCACTCTATCCTGGGCCTTCCTTTCCAATTCTATCCAATTTCTGTTCATTTTTCTCATATCTGTCTTCATTTCTCAGCGTAATGTGTTCTTTAATTTTCCTCTTTTCCTTTGGCCTTGATTCATGGAACATCGATATATTTAGACCACTAAGTGGAAATCAAACAATCTGAACAATTCCAATTTTCATAAATTTGCATGAGTAATAATCATGTGTACTCATCAGTAACCAGCTGTATCGAACTTCCTCAAATAGAAAATATAAAGTCAATCATATTGTAAATGAGTTAGTTGAACATAGATTCAATTAGTATCTATCTACATTGTAGTCATGAACTATGAAATTTCATCTTAATGGTTGAATGTTACCGTATTCACGTTGAATTTTGAAATGCGTTAGCCATATTATTCGTGGCTATATGTAACTGAGTCGTTCCCAAAATGATACCAATCAAAGTGATAGGTAATCTTTTTAAAACCATTCAACTTATTTGATAGTTCTCTCTTAGTACATTGACAACAACGTATTGGCTCTTCATGAGATTTTTCAGGTATATATCTCTTATTAAATCAATAATGATTAAGTATATTTATTGACAATCATTAACTTGATTACAATGAGTTAGTTTACAATGAATAATTGAGAGATAAAGAATAATAGTGATGAAGATAATACTATTTGTTCTGATTTGATAATAGACAAATTGAATTGATCAATACAAATAAGTTTATCGTTTCCTATTTAATTTTTACTTTTGAATAAAAGTATGATAATATGGTGCTAACTAGAAAAAGAATCCGCCTTGTGCCCCTCTAGGGCTACTACCGATCCCAAGTCCAGATAAAGAAGAAAGGTTGGGTATAGGGTTAGCAACTCCATCCCGTAGAAAACTAACTCGCTTAAAAAAAACGCTAATATCGTACGGACATTGTGGTTTCACTTACACAAACCTGTTTTGAACTCTAGAAGATAAATCTGCAAATAATGATTTGTAAGTATGAGATTTATGTAGATAGTCGAATTTCATTGAAATCCAGAATGCAACATGTTGAATGTTCACTGTTGATTAGCTGAGCCGGTTAGTTGCTCTAGGTGTTCAATATTTGTCAAATTTAGATTAATTCATGATTTGAGTAAAAAAATAATTTGTATAGACTATTATCAGAAAGGGATTTTATGGATAATATAGTGGCCTAGAGGTTAAGTATTAGTGTATGATACCGATAGGTCCTAGGTCACGATCTCGAGAGAGGAATCATGTATATGCACTGTTGAACAGTCTCATACTAAGATGAAATGACTATCTAGTGCTTCCAGATTTTTCATGATAGTCTAGTTTTAATTAACTCATGAGTTCAACTATTAAATTACATAGATTAGTTAATTATTGTCTAGTTTTGATAAATAAGAACGTTTACATGGAAACTAATTTTTAAAAACATGATTATGAAATAATAATATTTCATTATGTTAAATAATGCATTAATAGTCGATAATTATTATTGACTGAAATAAGGATCATAATGATCACTTATAAATCTGATTACAACTTATTTGTATTGTACTTACGTCTAATGAAGCATAGGCCGCCGACCAGCATTCTCCAACCCACTCTGTCCTGGGCTTTCCATGTACCTAAATAAATGGTTGCTCTGGTTGTCAGAAGGAGCATCGGCCTCATGACTTCCGAAGGAACTCGGCATTCATCATGAGGCGTCATAACTCTTCTAAATGAAGACCTTCTGACTTCCAGGGAAGAGTTTAAAAGGTGTGAACAATTTTTTCTGGTTAGCGTTTTTTAGCGAGTTAGTTTTCTACGGGATGGGGTCGCTAACCGCATGGCTAAACCTCCTCCTTTATCCGGGTTTGAGACCGGCAATAGCTCTCGGAGGGACTCCAGGCGGAGTTTATTTGTATTGTCTTACTATAGAAAAAAATTCCATGTTGAACATCATTCGTTAAAAGATTTGGTTAGTTAAAATCTTACACATAGAATGTGTAATCTACATTTGTGTATATGACTCTGTATTTAAATGTTGGGATTGTATTTTTGAGACATTGATAATTTGATATTGTTATATCCTAGTGAAGATTAAATTACGAGTAACGTCTGAGATCTATTAATGGACTAGTATTATCTATAAATCCTTATGGTATAATTCTAATAATCAACAGGGTTTCCTGTTGATTACCTCCAAACACCATCTTATCTCAACATAGTACACGCAATGTCGAATCACTTAGACTAGTGGCCATATTGCAACTTGGTCGATAGCATTCAATTTACACTAGGAAGGATCTGACACATAAGACACTGAACGCCACCCAGTGATCAATCAGTTGTAAATATTTTTTTTATCTACATCAGTACACTGACTGTTTGAATATACACTTTATTGTTCAATTCCGTGTCAAATCATGGTGTGGATATCACTGAGTAGTAATAAACCATACTAAAACAATAATCTATTAAGTACTGTTTCGTAAGCACTAGCAATCACGTTGGCGTTTTTTAGCGAGTTAGTTGTCTACGCAAAATACTTCCAATCCGTTGACCAGACACTATCAGCAACAACCTACTATGGGAGAAAACAAACGAGATTCCAGTGGAGGAAGAAATCAAGAAGAAGTACTGGAAGTGGATAGGACACACATTGAAAAAAGCACCCAACTGGGTCACAAGGCAAGCCCTCACATGGAATCCTCAAAGCTAAATAAAGGAGATGAGGAAGACCAAAGAACATATTACTTCAAGAAATGGAGAAAAACATAAGAAGAATAAATGACGATTGAATAGAACTAGAAAGTAAGGCCTAGGACAGAATGGGTTGGAGAATGCCGGTCAGCGGCTTATGCTCCAGTGAGAATAACAAGCGTAAGTAAGTAAATAAGTAAGTAGAATAATCACATATCTCATATCAATCTGTATTAAAATCTGAAAGAAAAGATGGATTATCTCATAAAATAAATAACATTGATGTTGTTATTAGTCTGAAGTAAAGTAGTTTTATCACTTACTTTGTTGTTGTTTTTTTCTTCTATTTGTACTTTAGATGAATCTCTTCAGTTCAAGAAGTAATTCCCAATTGTGATTCAATTAATTTTTTCATGTATAAAAGCCAACTGCATTTTCTTAGTGTCTTTCTATTAGAATATTATCATCATTATCGTCATTATTACTACTACTACTACCACTACTACTACTAGTACTACATTGAAACAGATTTTATTCATATAGAAGATACGTAACAACATATAAATATACATTTGCATTTACCGGGTGTGAGGGCGGGAAAACAAAAAAAAAGAAGAGAAACTATTCATTTTGCAAGTACTTACTTTCTTGTTTATTTTTATTGATCGATCTATTTATCAAATTATACGCACAAATTATTTAGAAATTATGAATAAAACAAATTCATTTATGGCACAAAATCATTTACAAACAGAATTCGAATTACAAACACCATGCATTTCTAACTTTTTAGATTATGATTTGTCTCCAAGTGAATTACATAATCATCATCATCATCATCATCATCAGAATAATAATTTGTTAGAAGGGGGAGAACAATGTCAAGAGATAAATAAACAATCTCGACAACACCACCACCCCCAACAACAACAACAACAACAACCACAATACCAGTCAAATCATACTATACATCATCAGCATCAACAACAACAACAATACAATGATATTCATTATTTCAATTCTCATCTATCTAATTATCAACAGAATCAACATTTACATGGAAATAGTTGTATAAATTCAACATTCAATACAAATATTAATGATGTAACAATGTCAATAATGAAAAAAATTGGTAATGATCAGTATTTTTCATCTGAATTACAAGTGAGTTGATTATTAGATTAAAATATTGACTAATGATATAATCTGATATGTATTTTTCATCTTTTATCTTAATGAATATCATTTCAAATGACAAAAGGTTAACCACTGATAGGTCTCGGGTTCGAATCTAGCGGGAGGTGGGATCGTAGATGCGCACTGCTGAGGAGTCATACAATAGGACGAAATGGCCGCCCAGTGCTTCCAGGTGATCTAGCTTCAATTGACTCATGATTTGAACTATTGAAATTACTAAAATCTCCACAAAACCCTTTCTGATAATAATCATCTGCTGACTAGTGACTGACTTCAAGAGACACTCCTGGAGTTCTAGTGAGAAGCCGTAACCAGTGGAGTACAACCGGGTCTGTTGTGATATAGGGACTCACTGATAAAAATTGTAGACGGTGGTTCACTTCCGTGGATTGGTTAATGTTACACACCAACACCGTTAAATGACGGTCGACTCGGTTGTCTAGAGGTTAAGCGTTCGCGCGCGAGACCGACAGGTCCTGGGTTCGAATATCGCGAAGCGGGACCGTAGGTTCGCACTGATGAGGAGACCTACAGTAGGACAAAACGGCCATCCAGTGCTTCTAGGTTTATTATGGTGGTCTAGCTTTATTTGACTAATGAATTCAACTATTAAATTACTATAATTAGTTAATTACAATTTATATTAAAATACTTTCTTTTTATACTATTGAGTACTTGCATCTTTCAACTAATTTATTGTGGACAGAATTCAATCAAAGCATGATTTTGATTGGAAATATTCAATAAATAATGTTAATTTCAGTTTTAGTTTGAGAAGGATAGGAAGCTGGATAATCTGTGGTATTCCTGGATATGATGGTCTTTCAGTTGATTTGACGTTTGTTTTTGTTGTTAAATGTATTGACAGATGGAGCCTAAACTACATATAAAGAGTTCCACTAGTTCCTGATTTGATGGGAAAATAAGTATTCGATAAACAGGTGATTGGTCGTGACCTTATAAACTTTGTTGGAGTTTCCGCTTGAATCCTTTATTCCAGAAGATAGTAAAAATGAGGACAGGTCATATAATAAATTATCATTAGCCAAGAAAATCTATCTTCAACTCCTTTGTATGAATAGACCTAAACATTTTAGATGAAAAAACAAACAAACAGTTTAATAGGTACAGGTACATCTTGCTGACAAGTGTCAAGTAGCACGAAACCGGGGTCCAGAGTTTGCTATTGACTACATTCAACCACCATCTTATATCAAGTCATTGTATTGTATGAATTATGTAATGCCTGTTAATTAGGCCGATAGAATGCCTTCATTAGGTTATGTGCGTTGAAATGTTTTCTTGTAGTTTGTTAATATACGAATGATAGTTATAAGAAACTTATCTAATAGAATTCAATAGTGCCGTGATGATTATAATAGGATGAGCTATTCCTTCGACATAATAAACTAAATATTTTGGAGAATATCATACTGTTAAATGGTATTTAGAGGTAGTCAACAGAAAACCCTTGACCCGGGTTTCGTGCTACTCGGCATTCGTCAGCAAGGTGTACCTGTAATATTGAGGGAACTGCTGCTCCCCGACGGATCCAATCCCATGTTACCTAGCTTCACAGTCAGAGACGTTATCAATGGGCTATCCAGGGTACGACCGACCTCCTGTATGACTGAAATGTATTCACAATTGATTAATCACTAGGGCGGTATCTAATGTCATGTATGTCAAGGCTTTCTTAGTGTAGATCGAATGCTATCGACCAAGTTTCAATGTTCTCTACAATGACCTATGTATGATAACTACATGGTCTAATGGCTTGAATCCAAAGCTGGTGTATATTAGGGAGTTTTATTCACCTACAGTAACATCGTTTTTCAATCATCATCATCAAGAAACATATCTCTCCCTATTTCTTATTTACATACTACTTTAATCAATCATTTAAACTGGTCACATATGATCAAATATTATTTCTTCATTTATACTTTATTTTTAGACCCCAGTCAATTCCACTTCTAATTTAGGTAAACGACAAACATTTCATGATATTAAAGAATTATTATTCGATATTTATCATGGGGAAAATGATTTATCTTCTATGAATAAATATAAAGATAATACTATTTCAACTGTATCACACTATTCAAAATCCTCTTCATTTTTATCATCCACATTAAATAACAATCATAATAGAATAGATTCAAATCAATCTAATTCATATAATCATTTCAATGATATACATCGAATGAATTCATTATTAAAACAATATGAAGAATTACCTAATTCTATAGAGAATTCAATGTTACAACATAATTGTCCAATAAATAATTGTAGAACAAATTGTCCCTATGAAAATACTCCTTCTGAATGTTCTACACTTCAAATGAATGATAAAATCAATAATAATAATAATAATAATAATAATAATAATAATAATAATAATGTAAACAAAATACAAGAAGGTAAACAAATCAATTCAAGGTTATCAAAAGGGTATGTAACATTTTCATAATATTGCTATTGTAGAACTGATAATCTTATATGAGATCGAAGGTTCACCATTGATATGTAGTGCTTGGTATTCCATATAATCCTTAAACTTCGTATATAGTTCATCTTGATAACCGTCACTAGATAACAACCCAACAGTATATTAATCAGAAGGCGAATATGAAGTGTTGATTACGTTTATTATGGGACCATACACAGATATCCACATTTACAGGTGCATTAAACAAGCATGAAAGAGTTGTGCCGAAAGGCAAGCAGGCAAGCGAGCAAGTGAGTCAGTCAGCGAATATGAGTACGAGTAAGCGAGTACAATTAGGCGAGATAGAGCAGCGAAGATGAATAACATGGACATGTATATACATAGTGAAATGAATGAATGAATCATCGAATCAATTTACAGGTTAGTAGTAAGGCTAGCAGCGTGAATAAATGCTTAGGCAGTAAGTAAATGCTCAAGCATACATGTTCATTCATTCGCAACAGTAATAAAGACACAATGCTATAGATAAGTTGCTATTGCACGAATGACTCTATCTGTTAAATAAGTTAACAAAAGGGTTTAACCGAATTAAATGTGAACATACTCAATTGCACGTGAGTTATTATAGATATTTTCGATGGTTCGGCAAACGGAATAACTCAACTTTAGTCTGTTCATGCTGTATATAATTGATTCACTCGATCATTGATCCGAATAACTATACACGTAACATGAATGTGTATATGAATGTATATGCGAATGGTTCACCAGGGTGCTTGATATCTATGTCGTTGTGTCACAGGATTCAGCTGTATTATTCAGATGTTAACGTTAAAGCCTACCTAATATGATGTCTGGTTCTCCTATGAAATGGAATTGAGCTATACTGCTCGGGTTATAAATTCTAGGCCTGGATAGTGTTTGGTTCTCCTGGAAACCAAATATACAATTACCCTGACCCACAAGGGTATATTTTATATCTATTTTCATAATATATCATCATTAAGTCATTAAAAGTTGTATATATTTAAGTGTTTATTGTATGTGCATAGTTTAATTATGGGTAAATGACTTTATGGATAATTGACTTTATTCATATATACATAATCAGTAAGCGTAAATAATTCAAAATTGTTTACATATAATATGATTCATATACTTATTATCAATATTGTTATAATAATCAATAATAATAATAATCAATAACAATCAATAATAATAAGTATTATTATTGTTATTACTATTTTTAGTAATGATTTTATTGATCCAAATTACATTTTAATGATCAATAAAATGTTAACCAAAATATCTAGATTATGCGTATTGATTATTCTATTGTGAATAAATAGATCATTAAAAATATTGATTTTTTATGGGGAGGGGGTTGAGGGAGGGGGTAATCAATGGTAGATTAAGTTTAATTTCAGTTTATTACAAATTGCATAATACTTTAATATTCCACTATGAAATACTATTAATCTTATCCTCTTTCATTCATTCATTCACTCACTCACTCACTCACTCACTCACTCACTCATTCACTCACTCACTCTTTCTTCATTTCTTTATCCTCATCTTTGTGTGTTTGAGTTATAATGATCTATTCAGATCTTGATAAAGTTTTGTTCTGTGAGCTGGATGGTTTAGTTGTGGGATTTTGATTGTTCTTCTGAACGATATCATCAGTACAAACTTCAGGTAGAAGTGAAGTGTTCGAACTTCTCTATATATGGTTCAGAGTTTGTTTTGTAGACTTTGATGTTGACCAGCTGAGGAACAAATCTTCTCCATCATCTTATACGTCAGATCTTTATTGAAAGTTTCTTTATGGTTGCGAATTTGATTTAATTTTCCCAATACGATGTAGGGCGGCCTGCTTGAGCATCTGGGCTACCTGTTCCTGCCACCTAGATATTTCAACAAGTTATCTATTGTTGTTTGTTTTAATATATCATTATGTTTATTAATCGCATAACCTATTCTGCTGCGTTTCTGAAAAGTGTACAACCTTTCGTTGTCAAAGTTACAGAAAACTCAATAAGAGACAATATGGTTGCTGGCAATGTACAACGAAAAGAATGTACATTATTCAGTTTTTCATTCACTGAAGTGCTAACATCTAACTGGCGATTCCTCAATATTTATCGCCAGGACCGACCAAGAAGAAAGAAACGGAAACTTGTTGAAATACTTTGCGCTGAGAATTCTATATTGTACCAAAATTATAATATTGAATAAAGCTAATAATAATAATAATAATAATATAATAATAATAATAATAATAATAATAATAATAATACGATGTGACTCATAACTGTAAATTATAAAAAGTAAGTAGGGGGCGGAGGTTTTTCAGTTTAGTCTCAAATTGTAAATCATGAATATTTCTATCGTTTAACTTCATTGCTAAGTTCTGTGAATCCATACATGTAGATCAGTGATAACATAATGATATCTATTGTCTTACATCAAGTGCAGAACTGTTGAAGTTTTTCTGACTATGAAAGTATTGCAGTGAAGGAGAACACAGGTGAAGACAAGCGACTTGAAATTAGCACAAGATTACAGAGTTACTTGGTAAAATAAAAAAATCATATCGTTAATTTGCAAAATATCATTTCATCATATCAACCTGGACTGTTCCTGTTGCAAACATCAATCCATTGTCTCACATTTCATTGTTCATCTGTTTTCTTACAAATTACATTGTGTTGTCACTCTTCCTTTCTTGACCTTTCCTCATTTTCTGCTGCGAGACATTGCGTTTTTAACTCACGTCATATACTACTTACATCGATATAAGTAGCACGCACCACAGTATGAGAACATCAATTCGTAGTTCAATATGTGTTAAATTTCAGCGGAATTCTTCTATAAGTTATTCAAAAGTCAGAAGAAAGCTGTAACCATATCATTGGAATAGAAGTTCCTACGATACTTTCTAGAAAATTAACAGATTATGTGTTAAACTCTGATTGAATGATTATTTACATAAATAAACCTTTAGGTAAAGCTTCTATACTTAATTCATATCATTTCTCTATTGTATGGTTTAAGTGTAGGAGTAATCTAATGATATATAAAACCGATAGGAAGTTAGTAGTAAGGGTTTGATGAGAAAATGATCACTATGTATTAACCCTTATTTGGAGTAAACGACAATCTATGTTGTAATGAATGGATACTTACTTGCTTACTTACGCCTGTTACTCCTCAAAAAGGAGCATAGGCCACTCATCACCATTCTCAATCCAACCCTGTCATGGGCAATCCTTTCCTGATCTTTCCACTTGTTATTCATCCTTTTCATATCTGATTCTATTTCCCAACGTAATGTGTTATTTGGCCTTCCACTTTTCCGCTTTCCTTCAGGATTCCGAGTTAGTGCTTGCCTCATGATGCAATTTGATGTTTTGTGTAATGTATATCCTATTCATTTCCAACGTCTTTTCATGATTTCCACCTCAGCTGGAGGTTGACTTGTTTGATTAAGGAAGGTGCAATTTAAAATATGACTATAATTCCACTGATAGAATGTATACATTAATTAGCTAGATTCTATCAGATGAATATGAAGCAAGCTACTATGTGAGAAGTTATCAATATTTAAGTGGCTACTAATAATTAATGATATTCAGGTTAGTATCAGAAGGAGTTTTGTGGAGATTGTAGCAATCTAAAAATTTGAGATCATGAGTCAATTGAAGCTAGACCATCATGGAAAACCTGGAAGCACTAGATGGCCGTTTCGTCCCATTGTAGGACTCCTCCGTAGTGCGCATCCACGATCCCGCCACACGAGATACGAACTCAGGACATATCAGTATCGCGCATGAGCGATTAACCACTAGACCACTGAACTGGTCGGTATCCAACGGTGTTAATGTCTAACTTCAACTAATCTACGAAATTGAGCGTTACATCCACCATTATCATCAGTGAGTTACTGCCTCACAACTGACGCGGTTGAACTTCACTGTTCACTGCTTCTCACTAGAACTCCAGTGCTTCCAGGTTTTCCATGTTGATCTAGATTCAAATGACTTATGATCTCAACCATTGAAATTACTATGATATCTACAAAAACCCTTCTGATATTGATCAACATATTCTCACTACTGACTCTCTTCAAGACGTATTTCATGGACTTCTAGTGAGAAGCAATGACCAGTAAAGTTCAACCGGGTCTGTTGTGTGATAGTAACTCATTGAAGACAACGGTATATGCGTCGCTCAATTTCGTGGATTAGTTGAAGTTAGACATTAACACCGTTGGATGCCGACCGGTTCAAAGGTCTAGTGTTTAATCGCTCGCGCGCGATACTGATATGCCCTGAGTTCGTATCTCGTGTGGCGGGATCGTGGATGTGTGTTACTGATGAGTCCCATATTAGGACGATACATCCATCCAATGCTTCCATATTTCCCATGATGCTCTAGTTTCAACTGACTCATGATCTCAACTGTTTAAATATTCAGGTTATTGAATCAAATATATCTATATGTAGTAAATATATTATCCGTTGGTTTGTTTGATAAGATTGTACATGAAGTTTTTTGATTTAACCTAAATCATATAACATCATTTGTACTCAATAATGAGAAATACTGAAGTAAAATGAACCAACTTTTAAATACCTAGTTCAGTTTTTAATAGTACATTGATAAATGTAAATCTGTATGATACTCGAGATGGTCAAAATGATGTATACGTCAGGAAGATGATTTTACTGATGTTGTGTACTTTAATCTGAATAGTTCATTCGTAAAAATGTCACTGTCTTTCTAGATGACATAGATTGTGCAAGTTTATAATTAAACTATTCAGCTTAGAAAACGTCACTTCACTCAAATTTTTCTGAAAATGAAATGAAATTTCTACAATTCATTTGTCTATCTGAATTATAGTCTATCATTGATAACTACAATTATCATTAAATTCACTTGGTATTGTTTACTTGAATCCTCCGATGGATGTTTAGGACTGATAATGATCAGTCACTTACATACATACGTACATACTGTGTGGATTGCCTCGATAATGCCTTAATCTACAAACTTTTTAAGCAGAAGTGGATAGTGACTAGCAGTGGAATCCAGGATGCGCATTTCATCCTGTTTGGGACTTGTCAGTCGGATCTACCTGAATCTCAGAGTTAATATTTACTCTGGGAATCGAACCCAGTACCATTCGCTTCAAACGACATCACATTATTCACTTAGCTACTGAGTCCTGATCTTCCAGATGAAGAGGAACTTAGTAAAAGACGATGAAAATGAATAGGATATACATTACACAAAACATCAAACTGCATCATGAGCCAAGCACTAACTCGGAATCCTGAAGGGAAGTGGAAAAGTGGAAGGCCAAATAACACATTACGTTGGGAAATAGAATCAGATATGAAAAGGATGAATAACAAGTGGAAAGATCAGGAAAGGATTGCCCATGACAGGGTTGGATTGAGAATGGTGATGAGTGGCCTATGCTCCTTCACGAGAAGCAACAGGCGTAAGGACTGAGTCCTGATAGTCACTTGCTTGTGCAATAGGGTGAAGTTTAAATTCAATTGGTATTGTTTACTTGAATATTCCCGTTGATGTTAAGGACTACAATTGATCAGTCTCTTATTAGCATATGTACATACTTTGTGTATCACGTCGATATAGCCTTAATTCACAAACATTTTAAGCATTATCATTATCACTTATTAATGATCATTATCACATTAATTGAGAGATAAGAATGTAAAAATGGTTATCATTGATTAAAAAAGAAATATGTTAACTGATTAAAACTGTAAGTTGTTCAAGGTCAAGCGTATAAATGACCCTAAAACGTGTTACTGTTCACCATGATGTTAGTAACATTGTCAATATCAAACTTTAACACATATTGAATACGGATTAAACTGATCGATATAATATAAGTATAAAGGTGTAAGAGATTAATTTCAAGTGGTTTTGAAATCTAGAGAACAATGGATACTTTTTTGTTTTGTTTTAGAAAGAATAGTAATAAACTGAATAACTTGATTATTACAACATTAACCATATTACACTATGTGACTCTGATTTAAAATCTCACATGAAAGATCAGTTCCAAGTAAAACTTCAGATCTAAGTTGTTAACGTGGTCCACCAGCGTGCTTGTTACCTGTGTGGTTGCGCCACAGGATTGAACTGTACTATTCAGATTGTAGCCTATACGGTGTCTGGTTCTCATGTGAAGCGGGATTGAGCTGTACTGCTCGGTTTATAAAATTTAAGCCTGGGTGGTGTCTGCCTCTCCTGTTAAACGGGGTTGAGCTGTACTATTTAGGTTGTCACGTGAAAGTCCGGATGGTGTCTGGTTCTCCTGAAAACCAATGTAAAATTACCCTGGCCCACAAGGGTATATTATATAACTGAAGTTGTTAATGAGTGTAAAATAATAGGAATTATAGGTTTGGGCCTACCTATTTATTATATGCAACTACTGAATATCATAATATATTGAGTTTTTAATAGATTGATTAAACACTGATTATATAATTAAATTTTGAACAAACTATATATAAGTTGAACTCATCATTGTATAATCATTAGATCATTCTGTGTGTAACCAATTTATTAATGTCATTATCAATCAACTATTAACAGTCTTGTATATTTGACTAGTTATTTAAAACATAAGCACATTCGAATGTTGAACGACTTCAATTACCTTTCTTATGATCGATGGTTTTGATGTAAACAATAAACGCGTTCTAATTATGTCAATCCATTCCTACTATTTTTCGATCTTTCTTTCACAAAGCGAAGTACCATCGAAACGTTCTATACTATAACTACAATATAAAATTGTTATCAGAAGGGGATTTTTGTAGTTATTATTAGTAATTTAATAGTTGAGTCCATGAGTTAATTAAAGCTAGACCGCCATTGAAAACTTGGAAGTGCTGGACTGCCGTTTCGTCCTACTATGAGACTCCTCAGCAGTGTACATCCACGATCCTGCTAGTGGGATTCGAACCCAAAGCCTTCGGTTTTGTGCACGAACGCTTAACCTCTAGACCACTGAGCAATCCGGGATCCAAATGCGTTAATGTCTAAACTCAATCAATCCACGAAATTGTGCCACCGTTCATCATTATCTTCAGTGAGCCTATCACAATAGAAAAATTGACTTGACGGTTTTTCAGAAAGAATTTTTAAAAAATTAGTGACCTTCATCTTATACCCAGCAAAATGAAGACCTGCAAAATACCATTGGATAGTTATTCAAATGTTTTAAATTAAAGAGTGAATTTTCATTTCACTGTAGCGGTAAATAAATCCCCAAAATAAATAGCACTAAGTTTTCGACATTGGATGCTGACCATATGTTTTAGTGGACTCACCTAGCTGAAGGCGCTCGGTCAGTCATCCGCACCAGATCACGTGTGGTAACGCCGTGCTCAACATCAACCGCAATCGCTAGCCAGATTAGATCAGAGAATTCCGATATATTGGTCATCGCCAAATATACTCTTCCGATCTCCTCGACTCTGTCTTTTGATTTCTCTGGGCGGGAACGAAATATATTAGAAGGTGTTACTGGTAGAAGCGTTGTCAAACACTGAATACCTGTGACATCATCATTATCACCATTATGGAGTGGTAAAGAAAAATATTAAACGTTTTAGATTTTTGATTCTTTCTATTTAAATTGCCTATAAAACCTAAATCTACGAACCTTCGATTCAACTTACTCTATTTATAGTAACTTACTAACTTAAGCCTGTTACTCCCAGTGCAGCATAGACCGCCAACCAGCATTGTCCAACACACTCTGTCCCAGGCCTTACATTCTAGTTCTATACAACTGTTGTTCATTATTCACATATCTGCTGACATTTCTCGGCAAAGTGTTCTTCCGTCGTCCTCTCCTCTTTTGTTTAGCCTTGCGGATTCCATGTGAGGGCTTCCCTTGTGAAGCAGTTCGGTGCTCTCCTCAATGTGTGTCCTATCCACTTCCAACTCTTCTTCCTGATTTCTTCCTCCACTGGAATCTGGTTTGTTCTCTCCCATAGTAGGCTGTTGCTGATAGTGTCTGGTCAATGTATCTGAAGTATTTTGTGTAGACAACTGTTAATAAACACTTGTATCTTCTAGATGATGGCTTACGTAGTTTTCCAGGTTTCCATCCCATACACAGTAGAACTGTTTTGACATTGGTATTGAAAATTCTGACTTTGGTATTGGTTGACAGACAGTTGTTTTTAGTTCCAGATGTTTTCCATTTATAAATATGCTTTTCTTGCTTTGCAGATCCACGCCTTCAATAAAACATTATATACATATAGCATTCACTAAAAAAATGTAAACCCTGTTGGTCGGTTCAAATCTTTACGTAAATTATTTTTTTGGGCTCAGTTAATCAGGATTTTCTTTTCTTCATTCTCTATGGGCGTTTTTCTTTTTTTCTTTTCTTTTCACTTTAGAAAGTTGGAATTAAAATTTTTACTTAATCAAGACAATACCAATCAAGATATTTCAAAATATGGTAAAGTAGCTAAAGTAAGTTGTGTAAGCAAATCACTTCAATAACACAGTTTATGATTAATCTTTATATTAACAATGGTTTTTTTAAAATAATTAACAGTTGAATTCCTGAGTCAATTGAAGCTAGATCACCATGGAAATCTTGGAAGCACTGGAAAGCTGTTTGATCCTAATATGGAACTTTCCAGCAATGCGTATCCACGATCACGCTTCGTGAGATTCGAATCCAGGACATATCACCCTTGTGCATGTACGCTTATCCTCTAAACCACTGATCCAGCTGACATCCGGCAGTTTTTGATGGAGTTTTGTTCTCTGAGCTGAATAGTCTGGTTGTGAAGCTTTCTAGCTCATCCAGTTTAGAGAACAAAACTCCATCAAAATCATCCACCTGAGCTACAAACCTTCTCCTTCATCCAACAGTGTTAATGTCTAACTTTAACCAATAAATTTAAATAGTATCTGGCGTTGAATCTAGGGTATTCTATTCATTTTACTTGTAATTTAAAAGCTATGTATTCCTGAATCTCTATGTTGATGAAGTAATTTTCACCTTAAACTAAAATTCGTTAACTATTGAGCTAAATTATCTTAATAGCTACTAGTTTGAACAAACGGAATAGATTTTATTTGATAAGCATGTACGTCAAACTGATAGGTTCCAAATAGATCAAAATTCGTGCTAACCACTATCCGAATTTTATAAAAACTTGTGACTAAATAGAAAAATCAAAGAACTCAGCGTTGAATGTCCATAGACCGATAGAGACTGATCATTTACAGTCTTTAACATTAACAACAAGAAAGCGTTAGCCCTTACAGAGATTAGGAGTTGATAATACGCTCAAATATCTGGTCTATTGGATGTTCAACAAAAACGCTTCACACATTTCTACAAAACGACTGGTTATGTGTCATATTATGATTAGGTAACCACCAAAGCTGTCACTAATGTTGACACGTTTCCAGATGCTATGAAGATATCAAGGTCATTAATAAAGCTGAAAATATTTCTATTCTCTGTACCTAGAATAACCTTGAAACTAATGATTCTTTTCATATTTCCCACATTTTGCCTTCTGTTTGAGGCTAAAATATAGAAACCTTCTGTGAAACTAAGAAACGATTACTAGTGATTGTCAGGTATTCAAATGGTAGATTTATTATTTTAAGTATTAAGTCAACTAAAACTGATATTGGTTAAAACAACCGCGCCTAAACTATTGAATATCTATTTAAACTTTATATTTAAACACTTAATTCCTACCTACACTATGCCGAACCAAAATAACATGAGTAACTATACTTCAGAATTACTAAGTCAGTATTCAATAATCAATACTTTTGACTTGAATCAAGTTGTTTACACATATTTATGAGGAAGCAGGTTACACACGGTCTTTCTATAAATTGTTTTCATTAGGTTATCCCTGAACTTGTAAGGCCACATTATAAATGGCTGAAAATCCACGATGTAAGATGAGGTGAGTCAACCGCTTCTAGCCCCCGTCCTTCCGCTGTGATAAAGTACTACAGCTGTGGGTGTTGCCTATCTGAGACTAATACATTACTTCCATCACACCGCAGTACAACCGGCACTGTGACTTATACCTCAGATCTTAATTTTACTTTATTTAGCTGTACTTTCCTCCGGTCAAACTACTTTATATGGTAGTACCTTTTAATTTCAGTCTATGGTAGATTCATCTAATATGTAGTAGTTCATGTCTAGCCTGAAAGTACTTTACTTGTTAATGGAGTGTTCGGATCAGAGTTAGTAAAGTAAGCTAGAAAAAAAAGCACACAAAATGTACATTGGTATGATAATCAAAGCAATCAATAGCAAATAGTAATAGTGTTCTACCAAAATAATAAATCCATTTCAAACCTAAACAAATGAAAATTCCAATCAGTATACCCTGATTAGGTCATCACGTTATTCAAGTTCAATTGTAAGCAACTACGGTGAATAATCACAAGTAATGCTATTTCAATTTCTCCTGTTAACCAGGTTAACAGACTACAATCTATTCAGTGAATCAAATATACAGGATATAAAAATGTACTCAGATTCTACATTGTTAAACTTTTCTTAAGATTTAGAAATAGAAACAGAAAAAAAAAGAATTGAAATGATCTAATCCAAAGGTTAGACTTAATAATGTTATTAATTGGTATAGTTAAATATATTTTCTATCATAACTTATGGGCCTTGTGTCCCTACTAATATATAACATAATGATGCCAACAATTAAAGAACACTGAATTATCGACTGGAGCAATAAGGCGTGTGAACATTCTAAAGTCTTTATTGATCCTTCTTCCTGCTTAGCCGTGCCTGTTGAGACCAGAACACCAATCTCAGCCTCCACGATATAAAATCATGTATTTCAAACATACTGAGTTTATATACAAACCAAGCAGACCAAATCGTACCATAAAATAGGAAACAATATTTGCACAAGATCTAGCCAAATGTGTCTATGAATAAGGGAGATAGTAATTGATAAACAGGGTATAACTCAAGAATCGTAAATCGTATCATAATAGTCTATACATCAAATGGAAGCTTATAATAAGAGGAACATGAATATGCGAATAGTTTAGTTATAATAACAATTATGCAATAAAAAAATAATATGTATAATATCAGTCCATAAATAGATCCCAACAGTTAACACAATTCATTATTTTCTTTGAGAGATCTATCATTATCATTTATTAATATTACTTTTAAAAACGAAAAAACACAGTTGATACATTAATTTCAATAATTGAGATCATAAGTCAATTAAAGCTAAATCATCATAGAAAACTTGGAATCACTAGATGACCATTTCGTCCTATTGTGGAACTCCTCAACAGTTAGCACTCACGACCCCGACTCGCGAGATTCGAGCTCAGGTCTCGCGCTCGAACACTTAACCACTAGACCACTGAGCTGGCATTCAATAGTGTTAATGTCTAACTTCAACCAATCCACGAAATTGATAGACACATCCACCAATGTTTTCATTGAGTTACTTTATTACAATAGACCCGATTGAACTCCACCGGTCATTGCTTATCACTAAAACTCCAGGAGTGTCTCTTGAAGCCAGTCATTACTGAGCATATGTTGATTAATATGAGAAGGAGTTTTTATGAATATTATAGTAATTTTAATAGTTAAAATCATGAGTCAATTGAATGTGAACCATTATGAAAAATTTGGAAGCACTGAATGGCCGTTTCGTCCTACTGTAGCACTCCTCAACAGTTGATATCCACGTTCCCGCCTCACAAGACTCGATATATTCCATATATATATATATTATTTAATTAAACTCATAAATTATTTTTTTTAAATTTTTACCATAAAAATCAATAAATCACTCATTTAAATTTAAAATTTATTAAATATCACATTGATCCTTTTTTTCAAATTGTTGCCATCTATCGTTTTAAAAAATGTACCGCTTTCTCTCTCTCCCTCCCTTTCAAATATTCATCTTGTTGTTGTTGTTGTTGTCATGGTTGTTGTTGTCGTCATCGTCGTTGTTGTTGTTGCTGTTGTTGTCGTCGTTGCTTTTCTTTCAAAAAAAAATTTTTTTTTAAATTTATGTGTTCTAAACCAAAACACAAAACTAAAAAAAGGAACATAATCTAATTTTTTTTTCCTTATTTAGACAATCATCACTAAAACTGGTATACAAAAATTATTTGTTATTCGTGGACGTGTCATTGATACACGAATACAATTTCATTATTATACATTAAAAAATAATATATCAACAACAATAATTAATTACCATGGTGATAATGATAATCATTATAATGAAGAAGATATTGATTTAATGAAAAATCATAAATTTAAATTAAGATTTAAACCATTTACAATATTTGGTGGAATATGTACACCGGCTATTGGGTAAATTCTTTTATATTTCTATATATATATTGATTAATTGATTGATTGAAAAATTACAGGCACAACTCTTTTTGTTTTTATATTTTTGATCATAAATATTCTACATTGATTTCAATATTAAGTCCTGAGTGCTGTGAAAGGAATGAGTGTGGTTATCGTTTCCCGGTTTCCCACACCGTGGAAAGGTTTTTCTTCAGGTACCTGAAAAGGAAATGAGGTTAGGGAGTGTTCTTAGTGACTTGTGAGCGTGACCGATATGCCCAAGGAACAACTTAGTGAGGTCGGTCACACACGACCGTTTTGTGAGTAAGTCTCTTGTTAGCTCCGTACTTGTTGTGACCTTACCACCGGAGACGGGAGTCCGTGTGATAAGGCAAGGTGTGCGTTGTTACGGTCGACTTTTTCTAATCTCACCCTACCTTTGTGGGAAGACAGCATCGCTATTATGCTGGTTGTCTGAAGGAAACACCTTACTCTCGTCACACTTCTGTACAGTCAGCAGTGCCAGTTCGCCTTCGGACTTTGAGTTTGTTGCTTTTAGTCTTACCGCTCTTCAACCGATCTGTCTGACATGATAGAACCTTGAGGAAAGGTGGGTCTAGCCAGTATAGCTCGGTTGCTTCATCACGGTAGGCAAGTCTGACCACCACGTCAAAGTAGCAAAAGCAGTCGGGTTTCAATATTAAACATGAATTAAAAGTGTTTCAATGATTTTAATGCGAAATTTTAATGATTTGAAGAGATTATTAAACAAAGATGAATGGTGATTAGCAGTGGAATCTATGATCCATTTTTAATTCTTTTTGATACAGATCAGCTGAATGTATCTGTATTTGAGAGTTGATTTTCATTCCAAGATTCAAACACAATACTATTTGATTCAAACAATATCATGTTATCAATTCAACTAACGAGTCTTTAATAGGACGAAACGTGAGTCATAGATTTCATTGTTAGCCATCTTTACTTACAAAGTTTATGACTGTAGGCAATATCGAGATAGGTCGCATAGGATGCGTATATTCCAATAAGAGACTGAACAATTGTAGTCCTAAACATCAATGAGAAAATATAAGCAAACAATACTAAGTGGATTTATTATGAATTATTTTGTTGATTAATGTCTAACGAACAGTTTGATCATGTTAAACTACCTAGCACAAAGATAATGTGTAAGAAGTTGAGACACTTTGATTTGTGATCGATTGAGTTCTATCAACATTGAAAGTTTGAAGAAAATGACATTACTGACAAATAAGTGATCAGTCAATATTTTAAACAAAATTATTTTTAGTGAAGATAATTAATAGCCTCAACAGTTCAGTGATAATCCCTCAAATAATAACAAAGTATCAGTCAGTCAGTCAATCAGTAACAACGTAGAACTTCGTATGTACGTACATCAGTTCGAGTTGCCACACCACATTAGCACAGAGATGCAGTTATCGATAACATCTTCAAACCGTAATGTTTTCAAGTACTGCTTTGTACTCCGGGATGTAGGTGCATCCAGCTGATGAGTCCGAATTAGGACGAAACACGCGTCCTGGATTCCACTGCTAGCCACTGTCCATCTTTGCTTAAGGAGCTTGTGACTTAAGACTAGATCGAGGCCACCCGCACAGGATGCACATATGCCAACATGAGACTGTTCAATTGCAGTCCTAAATAACAATGGAAAGATACAAATAAAACAACACCAAGTGAATTTAGTAACAAAGATAACTTTGTTTACTTATTTATTTCAATCTTTGTTATTCATCTTATTATATTCTTCTCCCCTTTCTTCAATTTGTTTATTGTAGTTATAATGATCCAATGCAAATTCCAAATATATTATCAAAACAAGAACAATTATGTTTTATACAAGCTGTACAAAATGATAATAATGTTACATATAAACTAATGAATGATGGTTATTTAGTAATGGATATAGATTTTAATAATTTCTGTGATATTTATCATTTAGTATTTCCTTTTCTCAATTCTAAATGTCCAAGTACATGGAAAAAAGATGTACATATTACAGTTACATTAATTGATGAAAATGAGTAAGTTATTAATGAATCTTTATTATCCATATACATATATATATATATATCAGTATGAGGTTGTGGAGATTATTAAGTTTTTGATTGAAATTGATGTTAGACAACCATTGAAAACCTGGAAGCACTGGATGACCGTTTTGTCCTATGGTGAAACTTTTCAAAAGTGCTCAATGGTTGTCTAGCATCAATGGGTTCATGATCTCAATCAAAAACATAATAATCTCCACGACCTTATACTGATAATTATCATGTGCTCACTAGTGACTAGCTATTTGAAGGAATTCTCAGAGTTCTTGTGAGAAACTGTGACCAGTGGAGCTAAACCATGTCGCGTAGAGACAGTTATTTATCTCAATACAATGGAAGATGGTTGTACAATTTTGTGGATTGGTTGAGATTAGACATTAACGCAGTTGAATGCCGGCCGGCTCAGTGGTTTAGAGGTTAAGCGTTGGCGCGCGAGACCGAAGACCCTGGATTCGAATCCTGAGAGCGGGATCGTGTATGGGCGCTGCTGAGGAATTTCTAAATAGGACGAAACGACGTTTCAGTGCCTTCATGTTTCGAATGGTGGTCTAACATAAATCGATTCATAATCTCAATCATTCCTGGATAGTTTGATAATTATGTAATTCTATTTTAATAAAAACTGTTTTATTATCGGTTGTTAAGTAAATGTATTTGTGTTTTTGGAGTGTTCATATCATAAGAATAATATAATAGCAATATTCAAATGACCTTATCAGTTTAAAACCACTTTACAGTCAATAAAATAACAGTTTTTATAAATTGATAATATATTTACATCAACTAGTGATAAAGCCTATTAGAATATAATCGTTTTAGGGAGCTTATTTGTTTTTCAACTTACTTACTTAATTACCTACGCCTGTTACTCCTAATGGAGCATAGGCCGCCAACCAGAATTGTCCAACACACTCTGTCCCAGGCCTTACTTTCTAGTTCTATACAACTGTTGTTCATTCTTCTCATGTCTCCTAACATTTCTCGGCAAAATGTGTTCTTCCGTCTTCCTCGTCTCCTTTATTTATCCTTGAGGATTCCATGTGAGGGATTGCCTTGTGAATTAGTTCGGTACTTTCCTCAATGTGTGTCCTATCCACTTCCAGTACTTCTTCCTGATTTCTTCCTCCACTGGAATCTGGTTTGTTCTCTCCCATAGTAGGTTGTTGCTGATAGTGTCTGGTCAATGTATCTGAAGTATTTTGTGTAGACAACTGTTAATAAACACTTGTATCTTCTAGATGATGGCTTACGTAGTTTTCCAGGTTTCCATCCCATACACAGTAGAACTGTTTTGACATTGGTATTGAAAATTCTGACTTTGGTATTGGTTGACAGACAGTTGTTTTTAGTTCCAGATGTTTTCCATTTATAAATATGCTTTTCTTGCTTTGCCAATCCGCGCCTTCACGTCCGCATCAGATCCACAGTGTTCATCAATGATGCTGCCCAAATATGTAAAGGTTTTTACATCTTCCAAATCTTCTCCGTCAAGTGTGATTTGATTGTTGCATGTTGTGTTGTATCGGAAAATCTTGCTTTCCCCTTTGTGTGTGTTGAGACCTATTGTTTTTCAACACAAATGAACAAGCTACCAATCCTAATATTTTAACAATTGAACTTCTGTATTGATCTTAGCTAGACCATCATTGAAAACCTAAAGGCAGTGGATGGATGTTTTGTTCTAGTATGGGACTTGTCAGCAGTTTGCATCCCATACACGGGACTTGGACCAAAGATCTTTGGTTACTCGCGCGAACGCTTATCTTCATTCTGATTATAATCTTTATATTATAGAAACGTAATCACCATAAAGTCTCATTTATCCTAATGTAAATGTATAGATCATAGATCAAGATTTGCTTTCTGTTATTTCATGTTTTCGTGAGATATCAGCTTTTGGAGATAAGGACCTTCTTGTTTTCGTTTTATGTCTCATCAGTTCATGTCGGTTTCTAATTATTTTATAAAAATTACTCAATTGGATCAATACATTTGTAGAATTTTAGATTTTCTAGCTAAATTTAGGGAGCTGGAATAACTCAGCAGTAACGCTTTGAACTGTGAAGTTGAATGACAAAGGTACGAATATAACACTGTACATTACTCCCCTCAAGATTGCAAGTGCACCTACACTGGTAGTCCAAAACTCAGATCAAGCACAGTTTGTTGTTGAATACCTTCATCGAACTAACAAACCAATATAATACATTTAGTGCTGGATCAGTTAGACTAGCTGTCTGACTGCAACTTGATCAACAGTATTAAATCATAACTAAAAGACTAAACAGATATTACATTGGTTATTATTCAGTTATTCATCAATATAAACATTAGGTTTTCCATAACTTGTTTACATTTACAAGTATTCGTTCGTTTATCAAGATTCTTTGTACAGTTGTTTTGATGTTAAATTTAGCACTTCACTTTACGGACCGGTGGGATAATTTATTAGTCATTTCCTATCCTATTTTTTCCAGTAAAGAAATAAGTAGCACTGAATTCGAAGTTGTCAGTTGTGCCAGTCCTATACGTGATGCGCGTCGTTACCAACAACGTCAACGTATTGCAGAACTGGAATTCGCAGAGAAGAATTTGCACAAAACTACTGTTAGTGCTGATAGTTTATTTGAATGGGATCATCAGACAAGTCAATCGGTTTCACAATCCACATCAAAACTCAGCATTTCTGATATCAGCCCCAATTCGTCTGGTTTTGGTAGTCTTTATTCTCCACTACCATCGATCACATCTGAAGAAGATCATTTCAACGAATTACAACTTTACTTTGCTCGAAATGAGGCATCCACTCCATCGCAACATATATCTCCATCTGTAACTACAGATTCTATTGCCATTGGCACTACTAACAATAATAATAGTAGTATAAGTGATGTGGATAATCAAAAGTCCGATATTTTATCACCGTCGACGTCTAATGATGAATTAATTGACTTGTCTAGTTGGGATCGGTTGGAGAAATTGAAACAAAAACGTTTGATTAATAATTCGACCAATTCACGTACCATTGAACGAAATCCACAAAACCTGTTCAAACACTCGACTGAACAAATGAGCTCTAAGATAATAAGTTCAAAATATGCAATGAAACGACAAGTTAAAGGTAAGCAGCACTAAACTTAAGAGTAAAGTATCTAAGAATTAGTAAAAAATATTTGAAACTAATACAGGATTTAAGTTTGAAAGCAACATTTAGTACGTCAATACTGTAGAGTTTATGGCCTATTATGATAGACGATTGTCATGGTTGGTGCGACCGAACAAAAGCTGCGGACCTAGGTTCCACACTTCTTGGTACTCATCAATAAGGTGTGTCCGGTATTTTAAGATAAATAATGTTTCATTTGGGTTTCGAACTAATGCTAACCAGTGTCATGGTTGAATTTGTTACATATCTATGATTCACACCATTCAGTCAATTATAAAATACTGAAATTTAAATATTTGTTGGTAGTCACCATGAAAGACTTCGAGGAATTGATCGATGGTATCACTTAATATTCTGTAAATCATACTGAATGTGACATTCATTTAATAGCATTCTGTTTCACTAAGCACTCATCTGCAATGTGTATCTGTAATGTTGAGATAACTGACACTCTCTGTTGGATTTGGTTCTCGGCCTGGATAGCTCAACAATAACGTCTCTGACCGTCAAGCTGGGTAAAATACGATCGAATCCATCAGGAAACATCAGTTCCCTTATTAACATTGTTGACAATTGTCAAATAGCATGAAACCGAGGTTCATGGTTTTCTATCGACTATCTCCAACTACCACTTTACACATCAAAATAGTACATGCGTCGTCGAGTCACTTAAACTTCGAAGAGATCAATTATGAATACAGTGATCATGAGTGTTGCCAGAGGTATGAGGGTGGTTATCACTTCCCAGGTACCTGAAAAGGAAATGAGGTTAGGGAGTGTTCTTAGTGACTTGTGAGCGTGACCGATATGCCCAAGGAACAACTTAGTGAGGTCGGTCACACACGACCGTTTTGTGAGTAAGTCTCTTGTTAGCTCCGTACTTGTTGTGACCTTACCACCGGAGACGGGAGTCCGTGTGATAAGGCAAGGTGTGCGTTGTTACGGTCGACTTTTTCTAATCTCACCCTACCTTTGTGGGAAGACAGCATCGCTATTATGCTGGTTGTCTGAAGGAAACACCTTACTCTCGTCACACTTCTGTACAGTCAGCAGTGCCAGTTCGCCTTCGGACTTTGAGTTTGTTGCATTTAGTCTTATCGCTCTTCAATCAACCTGTTTGGCATGTTAGGACTTTGAGGAACGATTGTTCCAACCACTATAGCTCGATTGGTTCATCACAATAGGCAAGACCGATTATCACATTAAAGTAGCAGCAACGGTCAGGCTAGTGATTACGTTATAACCTAATCGATAGAATTCTATTTGCACTAAGATGAACATTACATCCATGAAATTGATCATTGCCTAGTGATCAATCAATTATAAATTCTATCTAACCTATACATTAATACGTGTTTTGAATCCATTTTCAACCAGTTTGTCATGTTAATATTCATAATCACTACACGTTTAAGACAACATCTATGAGAGTAACTATTGAGGAATCTAAGCTTTAGCTGTTAACCTCACATTATAGACTTAAGCTAATTCATAATATACACTCATTATTTTCAATGTACAAATGAATTGTAAAGTATGTACATTTAGATAATCATATACAACATGTTTATTTATTGCTATGACTAATATGAATTATTGGTTATTTACAATAGAAATCGATAATGGTTCATGTGATGAACAGGAGTATGTGATAAAAGTACGTTTCCAATGTAACTATATTTAATATCATATGTTTATAATAATTGTTTCCATGTCATTAATAATTGGAACAGAATTATTATGCCAGGTCGTACTCGTTACGATTAGACCTTTGTTCTATCATTAAAATCAATTATATCAGGGGCCAACGAGTTATCATTGATGATAATGAATGATTTTCCTGTTATTTCACAAACTGACTGTGACTGAAATTGTACAAATGGTTACTGACCAAATGATTTGAATGTTTATGGGTTCATCAAAGTTTCGAAGTTTAATCTCTTACATGTTGATAGGTATATATTATGAAGAAGTTTCATACTTGAATGAAAGAGGCTCTCCATTGACTGAGGTCAGTGCTTCATAAATATCATTAAAGATTATCATTATCTCAGCTAAACTCATCCAACAAAATTGAATTAGTCTACTTGTAAAATATATCATTTTCTGGGTAACCTATTCTAATCTTTAGTATATACATGATGCTCACTTTTATAGTCCATTGGTCAGTTATAAATAATAAAGAACATGGCATACATTACATTAACATAGTAAAAGAAAAGAAATTAGCATTATAGGAAGTCAAGGTGACATAATGGTAGTAGTTATATTTGTTGCTATAGTCTGTCCCTCAAAAGCCTAATGAATATAAATTATTTGGGTAGGTTATAGATTATTGAAGCTTTATAGTCAGTTCTTATTATCTTACAGGGAATCATTCACATTCCAGTGAAGAATCACAAACACTTGAATTCTTTATTAAATCATAAATAATTTCATAAATGATCTCTTATAGTCCCCACAATCTCTTTTCGTATACGAAATCCTGATGGTTTATGAAATTATCATCTGAGAGGAATGACAGTGAAGTTATTAACCCTTATAGTTTCAACAATAACAGTAAGGCAATTACGGAATGAACTAAGTAACAGTTTATCTGATATGGTAGGAAAATAAAGGATTACTCATAAAAACTATGTTTTAGCTTATGACATGAATGAATAGGAATAAGCATTTTGTATAATTTCCTCTACACAATTCGAGATGATAGAGAAGATTTATAGCTTAAGCAGATGATTTTTATGGAGTTTTGTTCTCTGAAATGGATGGTTTAGTCGTAGAGCTTTCATCGTTCTTCTGGACAGTATCATCATCAGCACAAACTTCAGGTAGAAGTGAAGTGATCAAATTTCTCCATACATGGCTCACAACTTGTCATGACAGGTTTAAAGTCAACAAGAACCAATCAACATCGAGGTTTACAGGACAAACTATGAGCCATATATGGAGAAAATTGAATACCATTTCCACCTGAAATTTCTGCTAATGATGTTGTTCAGAAGAACGATGAAAGCTCCACGATCAAACCATCTAGTTGAGAGAACAAAACTCTATCAAAATCATTTGCATATTGTTTCATTGTTATTGTAGGATGTATATAGTTCATTACCCATTTTCTTATCAATTCAACATAGTTATGTCGGGAAAATCCTTTACAAATCACTATTGTTTCATTATTTTCTTAACAATTATTTCAGTTATATACCATTGTATACTTCATTTTCAGACAAAGAGTCGACGCATTTATCGAATTCTCAGTCTTCTCAACCGAGAATTATCAAGACATTTATGACAAATCACGCGTGTGAGCACGCAATTGAGAGAGAGAGAGAGTGAGAGCAAGAGATAGGCTGTCAAAAAAATAATTAAACATACGGCACAAAACATAAAATGAAGGCATTTGAAGCAGAAAAAAAACATGCCAAAACTATCCTTGTTAACTAGAAAATTCCACTATATTCATTTTATATTTTGTAATAATGTTTGTGTTTGTGTTTGTGCATGTGTATGTGAGTGTGTGTGTGTGTGTGTGTTCGTGCATACACATATGCATGCATATGTGTTTATCTATTTACTCTCTTTCTATTACTTCATTTTTATCTTCTCTTTTATTGACCACTCTCGTCTACCTTTTATTTTCTTTTTGCTATTCTTATTTATTTAAAACACCATAAGTAGTATTTAACGTAAGTTTCATCATTGTTTTTGTTTACCGAGAAAAACAGTTATTACCGTTGAATGCATTTGCCTGTTTATAGAAATATTGTATACAACTTAATATATATATAGGAAACTATTGTAACTATGGCGAAAAAAAACAACAACTGGAAAGAATTAGTACATTTAAAAATTAACTCGATTTGTTGAAGAGGTGAGGGTGAGGGTGAGGGTGAGGGTGAGGGATGAAGGTGGAGATGGGTATTTTCTGTTTTTCAGATTAACAGTCTTTCTTAATTGTCAATGCTTTTAATAAATAAATAAATAAATAAAAATTAATATTTTTTTAGCTCTTCCCTCCCTCTCTGTCTCTCCTTCTCTCGCTTATTTTGATAAATTTCTTTTTTTTTTTTAGAATGTATGTAGTAATATCTAATTTCATCTGTTTGATTTTATTCAATTGTTTTCTATATCTATAAAATGAAAAAAAAATAATATAAGTGAATGATTATAAGTTAGTAACCAAATATAATGGTTAGATAGATTACATAACTAAGGTACCTATGATATATCTTATTTCATTGAAGTCATTTTCTATTCCATATAGAGATAATGCTTTCTTCTTTCTTTCTTTCTCTCATTCATTCATTTATTCCATGTTCACATTTGCTCATCTTATCCAAATCAGAAATATTAATGGATAAGAAACAAACAAACAAACAAACAAACAATAATTTGTTTGCATTTAATAATATTAACAATAAAGCTATTCTAACACTGTTTTACATTTCTCCTGTATCCATATACATATGCATATGCATATAATTGAGTGCTTTCTTATACCTTTAATTATTATGATCATTATCCATATTGCTTTTCTATTGAGTTCATATCTCTTGATTGATGTTTTCATACTTGAAGAGGGTTTATGTTTACTTGTATTGAATAATCTTCTTTTTGTTTTTTTATAAAAGAAAAAAAAATAACAACCTCTTATTGCTCAAATATTTTTGTCTACATTTGACATTTTTGTTGTTTTGTTTTGTAACATTATCGCATTTCTTACATAATGAATGAAGAAAAAACAAAAAACAAGAAAAAAAAGAAACGAATTAAAGATGATCAACATCATAGGAAATAAGAAAGTGTAGAACCCTTCTGTTTATACATGTTACTAACTAACAGTAAATGAGAATCATTTACTTAAATGTGTTTGTTTGTGTGCGTGTATGTGTGCGTGCGTGTGTGTGTGCGTGTATTTGTATGGATTTTTTATATCAAAAAAAGTTAGTAACTAGGCCCAAACTGATCATGAATCCCTTTTTTTATTAAATACCCTATATCTTCTTTTTTTTTATAAAATAAAAACAATATTGTTTTATTCATTAGAAGCATTTTAAATGCATTTCATTCTTATTTCTTACTTCATTTGTATATTTGTATTCAAGTCTCTATATTCTTCTGTTTAGCTCTGGTAAACACTTATGTGTATAGGCATTTGAACTACAGTTTTTGTTGTGTTTATTTGATATTAATTTTTTTCTTTGGTATCCTTATCAGAACAAATCGTTTTCTCATTCGTTGATGTTCTTGTTTTGTTTCTTGTCATGTTCTCTGTTGTTGTACTTTAATAAATGTGTGCATAGTAATTCTTGGAGATCTATTTTTGTATCATCATTATTTTGTCTGTGTTTATATAAAAAAAGAAACAGGGATAAGATATTGAATGACGACACAAGTGGGAACAATCGAATGTATTTGCATACACAGTTACAGAACATATTAGTAACATTTGTCAACCGTACAGTAAATAATTAATTTGTAAAATATCAATCAATTGTCTCAAACTTGACTGTTCTTTCATTTTCTCCGCAATCACTCTCTGTTCTCTTTCTATTTTCTTCAAACTTCTTAACCTTCTGTTGCCAGGCATTTCACTTTCGGTTGATGATACATACTTCTTATATCTGTCAACATCAGTAGCACACACCACGCAACTCTATATGTTATCCATGATGTTTTGATGACAGATAAACGAAATTAGCAGATCAGAGACTCTGGACTCGATTTCCGTATCAATTGTCACTCTTCAGTTAACTTGGTCAACGTCAACTCTTCAGTATTATAGGACCAGAAAAGTATAACACAGCTCAACAGTCAGTGATTAATCATTTGTAGAAACCTTTCTTACTGATTCTACCTTAACTTTTCTGAATGATCAATGTACGATTGTAGAGATTGTTGAGTTTTTAATTGAGATCATGAATTGATTAATATTAGATCACCATTAAGTTTGGGCGTTCGCACGTGAGACCGAAGGTCCTATGTTCAATTGACTATTGAAAATGAAGTAAGAGTTATCAATGATTTAAGTAAACTTTTATTCGCTATCTATACATTATGAGTAGTATTTTAATAAGTTGTAACATTGTTCTCACACGTTAAACCCATAGCCCTCAATATTTAGATTGAATGGATAATTTTCAGAAAAATTTTATTATTCAGTCAACAATTTAGATTACCGTAATTCATAAACCAAATCACCTCCAAAGTTTAGGGAGATTTTGGTACTTTTTTTCTTAGGCCATCATCGACTAATAGAGTATTTAATGGCCCGTGAATCTGATTCCTGTTTAGATTGTACGAATAATTGTATGGATGTTTGTTATCGCCATTTTCTCGTATATCATCGTCGACTTAAATCGCGTTATCCAATAACGAAATTATATAAGTCGAATAACGAGAATTGACTTGAGAATACATATATTTCGAATATGAAGCGAATAAAAGAGTAGAGCAAAATGACACGTATGGAAGATGGCTGGGAAGCCAACTCCCTTTTAGTCAAGCGTTACTCAATATTTATAGTCAGACAAAATAAAGCTACAGACATTTGATTAATAGGATAAGAAGGGCACAAACATATACGCTCATATAAAAAACAGTCTAGATTGATAAGCGAATATGTAACAAGGTCAAAGTATGGCTCGAGTAGAATGAATAAAATGGGATGGCCGGAAGCTCGAATAAGGTATATGGGCTTGGCATAATAACTGACACTACAAGTATGTCTTGAGCTGATCTAGGTAATTTTACTTCATCAATTAGTGAATATGAAAATTTTAGATTTACATTTAGGCAGAAATCCAAAAAGGTTTTCTCAATGCTACAGTGATGAAGTTTATAACTAATTCAAACTCCGTCTATAGCTGAATGTTCAAAAAACTTGTAAGGTCAGTGAAATGTCACTAAGCCTTAGTCAAATCATCCGGCAGCTGGGTCGCTGAATATTAAACCGATCATCGATCTCTGTCAAGCTTAAAGGCCACCATCGCGCATTAGTTAATCGTTAGCAATCAACAGGCACATGTGGCGGTGGTCTTACTTTCACTTGTATCTACTTTAAATATATATTTCTGTAATAACGTCCTTTGTGCTGTACAGTCTTCAAAGCATCTACAGTACCTTGATACGTGGATGGGGAAATCCACATAAGGTGTAACTTCGACGTTAGCTAGATCGTCACACCATTCCCGTCTAACTCTAATAGGCCCCCAATCATTCGACATAGATCATGTACGCTGGCGATCTATAAACTGATATGTCCCTTTAGCATAATTTTTAGAGAACAGACCAGTTAGGGTAAGATTTGCTTTCGCTAAATATGGTTGTAATTTAGTTCCGAAAAGCTTTTTGGATAGCATATGTCAAATCACCTGAAATACTTGTGAAACACTAAATGACAAGACATGTTTCGTTTCTTCAGAATCACAATGATAAGAAACACGGCATATAGCATAGAATAATATGTACGATATGGCACTGTGATCGCCGTGAATGTATGGAATGGATGTGGTCTAAACGACTTTGATTTCTACCCTACCGTGTCTGTTAATTTATCCGGCTATAAAATTCCATAACTAAGGAATAGTGAGGCAAATTAAACATAGCAACCAAAATTAATCATTTCGAAAACTAAGGGAAGCCAATTTAATAAAAACTAGTGTTATGTATTTTGCCCCTGTCAGTTATCATGTGACAAAACCGCGAATCATAATACCGATTTATATGACCATTTTTTTATGCTAAGCCAATGACACTTCAACCAGTACTAACAGTGTTGCGTCAATTCTGAATCCTTATTGGTCCTTCTCGCCTAGCTCTATCAGTTGAGTCTGTAATACGAACACTCTCTACTGTACGAATGATATATTTCAGACATACGTAGTTTATAGACAAGCAAATCAGGCTGCATAATACCATAAAAAGTGACTATGAGTGTAAGAGACTGTAACTGACAGCTTGGGAATAAATTAAAGGTAGTAAATCGTATAATAATAGTCAATAGTCAATTGAAAGCTTATAAATGTGTATGATCCAGTTACTTACCAGTTATGCAATAAGAATACATATATAATAACAGTCTACAAATAGTTCCCGAAAGTTAGTCATAACGTAATCTTCGGATACAACAAGTGGCTCACTTTTAAGTGACACCTTTATCAATAAAAGGCACACTAATCATACAGTAATCGAAATTTTTCCGTCTCTTATTCACTGTATACATAGTAGTAAAAGAGCCTTACAGCCAAAAATCCCTAAAATCAGAGTGTTAATATATGATAATCCATCAAG